CGAGCATACGTGCGCACAGCATCATCAATCACACGCCATACTCCCCCTCTTTACACCGCTACGTGCAGCTCTCGCACGCTGCGAGCGTGTGCCCGTCTACAGCCCGGTGCGGCACTCGCCTCTACGTCGAATAACCACGCGACCCATGCGCACCCGTATCCGACACGTAGTTCACAAGATCATAGTTTACTATAACACTAGTTTGTAGTGTTATTTTAGAACGTTACAATGTATAGCTCATAGTTTAAAGGTTATATTGTTAGAGTTTATAATGTTAGAGTATGCAATGTGAGTTTACAATTTGAAAGTTTGTGGACGTGCCCTGTTCTCGTGGGACCCGACACGGATTTGGAAATATTTGCTATGATCATGTCTGAGCTGGGATGAGCGACTAATGTTTACTTTGCTGAATCATAACTGTGTGTAGGTTAGTGCCATCGGGGCATAGTGAATACTACTCATGAATGAACTCATTCTTCTTTCGGTAGAAATTTGAAATCGTGTTGGTAGAACAAGTCGCCTGTCCTTTTCTAGGCGAATTGTTATCTTCAAGTGCAGTCCGTAAATATACTGCTAAAATACACAGCATAGGGAAGGCTGCCTTGTTCGGGAGATGTAGTTTGGCTAAGGCGCTGTGGCCGGGTGATGACACGGATTCTGAAACAATGGAGTTAAACACTCGCTGCTTGTCCCCATCGACAGCAGCGAAGGCTGTCATATACCGCCCCATTTACGAGTTGGCTGTATGATGTGTATAGTTGAAGGTGCCAGGTGTTGTCTTCTTCTAACAGCTACTAACGTGCGTGTGTTGTCTGTTTTTACGATTTGTCCATTGATGTTGTTTTTTTTATTGCGGCGTTTTTTTGTTAAGTTCTGTCACTTGAGTGTTGCAGTTTGTTTAAGAATTCGTCACGTGAGCGTGGTGTTTTGCTTGTGGGAATTTCGCTTTGTCACAATTTGTGATTGTTATAATAATTGTAAAGATTCATAATCTCATGAGTTTATAATGGGTTTGTGCGTGATTCTTATACGACCACACTGTGATTCTAATGCTTCTAATGATATTATAATACCTTACCTCCGTTTAAATGGTTATAAATTAAAACACTAGTTTATAATCGTTTAATGTTCAGTGTTATCGTTCATAGTATTACAGTTTACATGTCATAGAGTACAGTTTATCCCCGACATACTTCGGAATTAGAGACTGGTACGTTGATGAACGATTAACTACGGGGACCTTTCCCCTCAATGAACACGTGTTAATCGTGTAGACAGCTAAGATGCTGCAGGTTAAGGGCACACTTGTGTGATGGAGATCCTCCACCTGAAATTCTCTGAACATGTTTTTGCTAGGAACATTATACAATAAAGAACTGACAAACATTTGTTAAAATACGTTTTTATTCATCTGCAACAATTTTACGTCAAAACTCGAAGGCAATATTTATTACGTCCTATGTTCACACATTTCCAGTAGAATGCAAACCATTTCCGTTCCAGGAATACCAAAGCGTTAAAGTTTCATTCCCCATGATTTCCTTATTAGTTCACCACATTTGTTCACTCTGCGTCTATGTTGAAGTCAAGGCCATATAAACAACGAACGCGTCATCAATGTACATCTTGAAATCGGCTATCTAAAGTCGATTAATACCAATCAAAAAAAGCTATGTACTTGAAAAAAACGTTTAAAATGCTGAGTAAAGATGTATCTACAGACGCATTCCAAATTTAGCTCAACAGGAACACCTAACGACTACAATTGAACCCTCTCACAACCAGTGCTCATCACACCACTTCGGCAAATCATCCGATAACATTACAAACCACCACTGGGCACGTCATTAAACTCTCACAAAAACTGTAAAACTAAAATGGTCAAAATTACACACAAAAGTACTCGATACGGCTTAATATGACATAATATTTTTTCAGTCACCCCGAGCTCTCTGGTTGACTCTCGAGCCACTCCATTACATCCAGCCATCTCTCGGGATCCAACTGCATGGGATCGAAGGTGGAAACTTCTTCAGGACCAATTGCAGCACCTTGAATTTCAGCTTTTGATTTCAGTTTCCTATCATTGTGGACCTTCTGATGCCTGTTCCTGGTTGATGACCGTGCAAATGTCTTCCCACACACAGGGCACAGGAACGGCTTCTCGCCCGTGTGCGTTTTCTTATGATCTTGAAGAGTTGATGACCGTGCAAATGTCTTCCCACACACAGAGCACAGGAACGGCTTCTCGCCAGTGTGTGTTCTCTGATGACTCTGAAGATGTGATGAATGTGCAAATGCCTTCCCACACACAGGGCACAGGAATGGCTTCTCGCCCGTGTGTGTTCTCTGGTGTCTCTTAAGATTTGATTGCCGTGAAAATTCCTTCCCACACACAGAGCAATTGAATGGATTCTTGCCTCTGTGTACGTGGGGCTGTGGAGAGCGTCTCTGCTCCATGTGAGCGTAGTAACAGCAGCGGTGTTATTGTGTCAAAAGTACGCTTTCGGCCGCAAGGATGTTTAACGTTGAGTTTTGGATTTTGTTAACTGTTAAAACAAGAACGACACTCGCGTCTAACCGAGACGCAAAAGAATTCCCGTAAATTTGACGACGAACACGTTTGAGAGTTTATCCGCGAAAATAGACACTTACTTGGAGATTCACGGTATATCGATGTCTGGAACCCGTCTGAAGATGTCGCCACGAACTCTCCCGACGCAAAGTCGCCTAACTGTCGACACAGCAATTGTGCTCGCCAGGCTGCGTTGTCTCGCGGTTGAAGGGCGATCAGCAGAGCGACGAGTCGAGCGTCCAACCTCATCAAGTTCCCTCTAGTAATGGCATTGAGCTCTGCTTCTGAGCCGCCTTATAACTCCCCCCCTAGGATCCAATCCTTTGTCTTTCAGGATATTTGGATTCGATTGTTAATTTTGGAAGGTACAATCCGCATGTCTATTAACATACCGAAGGGTAATGTGCCCATTGTGCTTCATGCATGAATATGTAAGTGCATCTCAGTGAGTAATCGTGCGCTTATTTTGAATAAATGGAAAAACTTTGTCCTCGATTTAAAGTGAATGCAGAGAAATTAGCATGTGACTTTAGAAAAGGAAGAGAGCGGCTGTTTGATGGGTACAATGGGTACTATCCGGCTAATTACCATTATTATGTATTGACGTTGATCACGTCTCCATGGACGGCTTGCTGTCTACTTCCGTTGTGTAATTGAGATTTTGTGCATGCTGGTGATGGTAAGGGCATGTGTTGCATAATATGCAGCATGTGTCCGCGTATCATGTTTGCCACGGATGCAGTTGGCGTTACTGTACATTTATCATGTTTTGGAGTGCCAATCCCATGCACTTTGAAATGTAATAAACTATCTAAAAGGGTTGCAGCCCGGCCCCCGCTGCTGTCACTCTCTGGCCGTTGCACAAGCCATATCGGAATTTGCGACATGCTAAGACAATGAGTACAGTGTGACACCGCCCGGGTAACTCCCGGGATCAAAATGGGCATTGGAAAGTGACCAGTACCGCGAGCTGACCAACAAAGAAGAAATGGTAAATCTTCTTGGTTCTTTCGGTAAAGTCACGTAGAAGGGAAGTAATAAAATAATAAAAATAAAACATAATAAAATAATTCTCACGACGTTTCGGCCACAACGCAAGCAGCCGTCCTCAGGTGAAAACCAGGTCTGTCGAGGCTACAGCGTCTGAATGAAACAACACACGTGCTTGGAGCATATATATAAGCTGGGTTGGAAGGGGGGGAAAGGGCGCCTTGACAAAATAATTTGCATATCAAGAGGAATTTAGCAAATTTATGGGAAATGTAGGTATTTGATTAGTACTACTTATGCCCATTTCGACTTCGGAGCAAACAGTTCCCCATTGTCCCAGCCTTCGCGATGACCATCAACAAGGCGCAAGGGCAAACTGTTCACAACCTGGGATTATATCTACCAACGCCATGCTTCTCGCACGGCCAACTGTACGTGGCACTATCGCGAGTCACGGCAAGATCCAACATCAAGGCGCTTATTGAGGGAACTGACGACGAGGAGGAAGACGGAGTGTACACGAAGAATATCGTGTAATCGCCAGATATTTCAATAAGTTGCATTCTATATTTCAATAACTTGCATTCTTTAATATTGTCGATTGAGCGTCTCATAAAAATACATATAACCTCACAAAAATAAACATAAAACAATCACCAAAACATGTATATTGTGTCCAGCCACTTTCAACTCCCCACCAACCAAGCACATACACACCGCCCGCGAAGCGGGCGGCGACTGCTAGTCGTTTATAGTATTATAGTTTACTTGTCATGAAGTACAGTTTATCCCCGACATTCTTCGGGATTAGGGGACCTTTCCCCTCAAGGAACACGTGTTAATCGGGTAGACAGGCAAGATGCTGCCGGTTAAGGGCACACTTGTGTGACGGAGATCCTCCACCTGAAATTATCTTAACATGTTTTTGCTAGGAACATTATGAAATAAAGACCAAACATTTTTTTTTAAGTACGTTTTTAATCATCTGCAATAATTGGTTCGTCAAAACTCGAAGGGGAATATTTATTATGTCCTATGTTCACACATTTCCAGTACAATGCAAATCATTTCCGTTACAGGAATACCAAAGCGTTAAAGTTTCATTCCCCATGATTTCCTTATTAGTTCACCACATGTGTTCACTGTGCGTCTATGTTGAAGTCAAGGCCATATATACAACGAACGCGTCATCAATGTACATCCTGAAATCGGCTATCTAAAGTCGATTAATACGAATCAAAAAAAGCATATACACTTGAAAACTAAAAGTCTTTAAATGTTGAGTAAAGATATACCTACAGACGCATTCCAACTTTAGCTCAACAGGAACACTTAACGACTACAATTGAACCCTCTCACAACCAGTGCTCATCACACCACTTCGGCAAGTAATCCGATAACATTACAAACCACCACTTTGCACGCCAATAAACTCTCACAAAAACTGTAAAACTAAAATGGTCAAAATGACACACAAAAGTTATCGATACGGCTTAATAGATATAACCACATGACGTAATTTTTTTCAGTCACCCCGAGCTCTCTGGTTGACTCTCGAGCCACTCCATTACATCCAGCCATCTCTCGGGATCCAACTGCATGGGATCGAAGGTGAAAACTTCTTCAGGACTCATTGCAGCACCTTGAATTTCAGCTTTTGATTTCAGTTTCCATTCATTGTGGACCTTCTGATGCCTTTTAAGATGTGACGACTGTGAAAATGCCTTCCCACACACAGGGCACAAAAATGGCTTCTCGCCCGTGTGTGTTTTCTTATGATCTTGTAGAGTTGATGACCGTGCAAATGCCTTCCCACACACAGGGCACAAGAATGGCTTCTCGCCCGTGTGTGTTCTCTGATGAGTTTGAAGAGTTGATGAGTCTGCAAATGTCTTCCCACACACAGGGCACAGGAATGGCTTCTCGCCCGTGTGTGTTCTCTGGTGATTTTGAAGAGTTGATGAGTGTGCAAATGTCTTCCCACACACAGAGCACAGGAATTGCTTCTCGCCCGTGTGCGTTCTCTGATGGCTGCGGCAGTTTACTGAAAGTGAAAATACCTTTCCACACAGAGAACACATGAATGGCTTTTCGCCCGTGTGTGTTTTCTGATGCCTGTTCAGTTTTGATGACTGTGCAAATGCCTTCCCACACACAGAACATGTAAGTGCATCTCAGTTTGTGCGCTTATTTTGAATAAATGGAAAAACTTTGTCCTCGATTTAAAGTGAATGCAGAGAAATTAGCATGTAACTTTAGAAAAGGAAGAGAGCGGCCTTCTCGACGAGGGAGTGAAACCCAATAGGTAATATTCTTTTACAGCGTTACAATGGATAGGTTGTAGTTCATAGGTTATAATATTATGTTTCACTATGATAGAGCTTAACATGTGAGAGTATACAATATCAGAGTTGATCAAATGCGACAATCAAGGGCGTCAAGCGGGTGAGTTTGATCAGAGACTTTAATCAAAGGCGTCATCCCATCACTGAACCCCGGGTTCCCCCCCGCCATCATCCACTATTCCGTTTACGTTACCCCACCTCCCTATTACCCGCTAAGGTTTCGCCGGCATTCGAACGCGACGCCCCTACTGTTACAGCCTCGCGCCGCGCTCCCACGCTGCGAGCATACGTGCGCACAGCATCATCAATCACACGCCACACTCCCCCTCTTTACACCGCTACGTGCAGCTCTCGCACGCTGCGAGCGTGTGCCCGTCTACAGCCCGGTGCGGCACTCGCCTCTACGTCGAATAACCACGCGACCCATGCGCACCCGTATCCGACACGTAGTTCACAAGATCATAGTTTACTATAACACTAGTTTGTAGTGTTATTTTAGAACGTAACAATGTATAGCTCATAGTTTAAAGGTTATATTGTTCGAGTTTATAATGTTAGAGTATGCAATGTGAGTTTACAATTTGAAAGTTTGTGGACGTGCCCTGTTCTCGTGGGACCCGACACGGATTTGGAAATATTTGCTATGATCATGTCTGAGCTGGGATGAGCGACTAATGTTTACTTTGCTTAATCATAACTGTGTGTAGGTTAGTGTCATCGGGGCATAGTGAATACTACTCATGAATGAACTCATTCTTCTTTCGGTAGAAATTTGAAATCGTGTTGGTAGAACAAGTCGCCTGTCTTTTCTAGGCGAATTGTTATCTTCAAGTGCGTCCGTAAATATACTGCTAAAATACACAGCATAGGGAAGGCTGCCTTGTTCGGGAGATGTAGTTTGGCTAAGGCGCTGTGGCCGGGTGATGACACGGATTCTGAAACAATGGAGTTAAACACTCGCTGCTTGTCCCCATCGACAGCAGCGAAGGCTGTCATATACCGCCCCATTTACGAGTTGGCTGTATGATGTGTATAGTTGAAGGTGCCAGGTGTTGTCTTCTTCTAACAGCTACTAACGTGCGTGTGTTGTCTGTTTTTACGATTTGTCCATTGATGTTGTTTTTTTATTGCGGCGTTTTTTTGTTAAGTTCTGTCACTTGAGTGTTGCAGTTTGTTTAAGAATTCGTCACGTGAGCGTGGTGTTTTGCTTGTGGGAATTTCGCTTTGTCACAATTTGTGATTGTTATAATAATTGTAAAGATTCATAATCTCATGAGTTTATAATGGGTTTGTGCGTGATTCTTATACGACCACACTGTGATTCTAATGCTTCTAATGATATTATAATACCTTACCTCCGTTTAAATGGTTATAAATTAAAACACTAGTTTATAATCGTTTAATGTTCAGTGTTATCGTTCATAGTATTACAGTTTACATGTCATAGAGTACAGTTTATCCCCGACATACTTCGGAATTAGAGACTGGTACGTTGATGAACGATTAACTACGGGGACCTTTCCCCTCAAGGAACACGTGTTAATCGGGTAGACAGCCAAGATGCTGCCGGTTAAGGGCACACTTGTGTGACAAAGATCCTCCACCTGAAATTAGCTTAACATGTTTTTGCTAGGAGCATCATAAAATAAAGAACGGACAAACATTTGTTAAAAATACGTGTTCATTCATCTGCAATCATTTTTACGTCAAAACTCGAACCAAATATTTATTACATTTCCAGTGCAATGCAAACCATTTCCGTTCCAGGAATACCAAAGCGTTAAAGGATCATTCCCCATGATTTCCTTATTAGTTCACCACATTTGTTCACTGTGCGTCTATGTTGAAGTCAAGGCCATATATCCAACGAACGCGTCATCAATGTACATCCTGAAATCGACTATCTAAAGTCGATTATTACCAACCCAAAAAAACTTTATACTTGAAAAAAAAACCTTTTATAATGTTGAGTAAAGATCTAACTACAGACGCATTCCAACTTTAGCTCAACAGGAACACTTAACGACTACAATTGAACCCTCTCACAACCAGTGCTCATCACACCACTTCGGCAAGTAATCCGATAACATTACAAACCACCACTGGGCACGTAATTAAACTCACAAAAACTGTAAAACAAAAATGGTCAAAATTACACACAAAAGTACTCGATACGGATTAAAAGGTATAACCACATGACGTAATTTTTTTTCAGTCTCTCCGAGCTCTCTGGTTGACTCTCGAGCCACTCCATTACATCCAGCCATCTCTCGGGATCCAACTGCATGGGATCGAAGGTGGAAACTTCTTTAGAACTCATTGCAGCACCTTGAATTTCAGCTTTTGATTTCAGTTTCCTATCATTGTGGACCTTCTGATGCCTGTTGATGTTTGATGAGCGTGCAAATGTCTTCCCACACACAGGGCACAGGAATGGTTTCTCGCCCGTATGCGTTCTCTGATGAGTTTGAAGAGTTAATGACCGTGCAAATGTACTCCCACACAGAGAACACAAGAATGGCTTCTCACCCGTGTGTGTTTTCTGGTGACTCTGAAGATTTGATGACTTTGCAAATGCCTTTCCACACACAGGGCACAGGAATGGCTTCTCACCCGTGTGTGTTTTCTGGTGACTCTGAAGATGTGATGAGTGTGCAAATGTCTTCCCACACACCGAGCACAGGAACGACTTCTCGCCCGTGTGCGTTCTCTGGTGTCTCTGATGGCGGTGTTATCGAGTCAAAAGTACGCTATCGGTCGCAAGGATGTTTAGCGTTGAGTTTTGGATTTTGTTAATTGCTAAAACAAGAACGACGCTCGCGTCTAACCAAGACGCAAAAAAATCCCGCTAATTCAACGACGAAAACGTTTAAGAGTTTATCCGCGAAAATAGACACTTACTTGGAGATTCACGTTATATCGATGTCTGGAACCCGTCTGGAGATGTCGCCACGAACTCTCCCGACGCCAAGTCGCCTAACTGTCGACACAGCAATTGTGCTCGCCAGGCTGCGTTGTCTCGCGGTTGAAGGGCGATCAGCAGAGCGACGAGTCGAGCGTCCAACCTCATCAAGTTCCCTCTCGAAATGGCATTGAGCTCTGCTTCTGAGCCGCCTTATAACTCCCCCCCTAGGATCCAATCCTTTGTCTTTCAGGATATTTGCATTCGATTGTTAATTTTGGAAGGCACAATCCGCATGTCTATTAACATACCGAAGAGTAATGTGTCCATTGTGCTTCATGCATGAATATGTAAGTGCATCTCAGTGTGTAATTGTGCGCATATTTTGAATAAATGAAAAAACTTTGTCCTCGATTTAAAGTGAATGCAGAGAAATTAGCATGTAACTTTAGAAAAGGAAGAGAGCGGCCTTCTCGACGAGGGAGTGAAACCCAATAGGTAATATTCTTTTACAGCGTTACAATGGATAGGTTGTAGTTCATAGGTTATAATATTATGTTTCACTATGATAGAGCTTAACATGTGAGAGTCTACAATATCAGAGTTGATAAAATGCGACGATCAAGGGCGTCAATCGGGTGAGTTTGAACAGAGGCTTTAATCAAAGGCGTCATCCCATCACGGAACACCACCTCCCTGCGTTTATTACAGCAACAGAAGCAACTACAGCAGCAACAACAGCAGCAACATCACATTTCGAGGGCAACGCAGCTACTTCCGATTCTGCTGCCCAGCTGTTTGTAGTCGGGACCTGCTCTCGCAGGACCCCACACGTCTTTGGAAATGATTGCGATGATCATGTCTGAGCTCAGAATTAAGTCACTCAAAATTACTTTTTTAACCATAACTTTAGGTAGGTTAGTGTCATCGGGGCTCTGTGAATACTACTCATGAATGAAATCACACTCCTGTATGACCGACATTGTACTAATATTGGTTGATCGAGTAGAACAAGGCACATAACATGTCCAGACGAATTCTTATCAACAACAGTGTCCTTAAATATGATGCTAAAATAAATGTTAACACTGGATTAAACGTGCACCTCTTAACCCCTCCCTCGCATTTACGACTAACAATTTGCATTTGCACATAACATACATTCAAGTACAGTAATTTTCTAAAACGACCAAATTGTCATTCTAAAATTTGAATGCCATTCTTACCCTCGACCCCCACAGTTCACATATCCGACCGTCGGTTCGACTGAACGGACAATTAACAAACATGTGTAGAGTTCCATTATAATACTTCTAATGAAATTAAAATACCGTACCTCCGTTTATGGTGGTATAAATTCTAAAACCAGTTGGTAGCTTTTTTTGTCGTTTAATGTTTAGTGTTATTGTTTATAGTGTTATCAATTTACGTGTTTTTAAGTACAGGTGATTCCCGGTATACTTCGGTATTCTGGACCTGAACGTTGCACCGTCTCTCTGGGGACCCGTGTAGTGTGTGTAGCGAGTATCACTGGGTGGGCGGGTAGTGTGGTGATAGTGGTCACGGTTGGCACCGATGCACGACCACCGCCACCACCCCTACTGGGCGGTGGACCTGCCACCACAAAGCAGCACGCGGCGGAGGAGTGAGGCGATCGCTCTCGCCACGCGAGCGAGGCTCCCTCGCTTCCTCTTCTTTTCGTGCATCTCCACCTGCACCTCTTCCGTTTTCTCCTCCGTCTCATCCTCCTCCATCCCCTTTTCTTCATCCTCCACCACCATCTCCTCTACCTCCTCCTCCTCTTCCTGCGCCACCTCCATCTTCTCCATCTTCTTCTCCTCCGCTAGCACCATCTCTTCCTCCTTCATCTCCTCCTCAACCTCCGGCACCACCATCTCCACCACCGTCTTCTCTTCCTCCTCCACCACCATTGTTTCCCCTTTGTCCGTCGTCTCCATGTCCTCCACCACGACCATCTGTTCATCCTTTATTGTCTCCTTGTCCTCCATCTCCGCATTGTCTTTCTCCTCTCCCTCCGTGTTCCCCTCCATTGTCACCATCACAATCTCGTCCTCCTTTGCCTTCTCTTCCTCCGATTTCTCCTCCTCCTCTGTCTCTACTTCATCCTCCATCATCTCCTCCTTCACATCTTCCTTCGTCTCCTTCTCCACAACCTCTGTCTTCACTTCAAAGGTCTGGAGGAGTGAGGAGGAGGGCTGAGCTGGCACAGATCTGTGAAGAGACAACACGACACCGTTCTAGATTTGAAGCGTTCGTGACTGCAATGATTCATATTCTTAGGTTTTTCGGTGAAGTCACGTAGGTAAAAAAAACATTAAAAAGTAAAATAAAATAACATACAAAATTAAAATCACGACGTTTCGGAGGCAACACAAGCTTCCGTCTTCAGGTGGTACCGTCACAGCCACGACAGCTGTATCAAGTAAATGAGAGATTGCAGAAGCTACCACTCCGTTTATATACTGGTTGGAGAAGGTGGTGGGGCAAGGGCCGCATACTTTTGTAATAAAAGGACTCGAACACTTCTTTCTGTCTTCGTGTCTTTATTCAGGTTCACGTCTTTACCCACACGGCACTCTGTTATAACTCCTGTATTTGTAGCCCCCGGCTATTCACTGCTATTATAGCTTCCTCACCCCTCTGACTCTCTGCTTCATCTACTGTAACCTCCTCCCTGCAGACTTGCTGCTACCCCTATGTGCAGACCCTCTGGCTGTCACTGTATGCAGACCCGCTGCCCACTCTCTCTGTGCAGCCCCGCTGCTGACTGCAGCCTCCTTGCTGCTTCGGGTCGGTCACCGCTGGCCAACGGTGCCGATCCTCGCTTCCCCCGTGTTCGTGGCGATCTCGCCACACCCCGCTTCGCCCTACGTGGCCTTCCTCTGTTCCTGGCTCCCAGTCACTCCCCCTGCTCTTCCGGTTCCCCTCCTTCTATACTCAACCCCTCTCCCCCCACGTGACCTAACTCCTCCCCCCCTGACGGCACCTCAGAAGGGCCGTTTACAACCGCATTACATCACCCTCCCCCCTAAAGAAAATCCAGCCGACCTCGGCTGAATTGCAACCTGAAAAGCAATGCGGGTGTAAAGGGCCAACACGCAAAAAGACACGAAGCATTGAAGAACATTATAACAATAACACAACACAACACAATCTAACGAAACGTGAGGGATTTCGAGCGAGTACGGGTAGCCGGGCCGTCCCGGACGGTCGGCGGCCCACCCGCCGAGCGGGAACGTGGAAGGGTTTTAGGGGCGACGGGCGCAAGTTCTTCCGTCGCCATTGGAGGCCCGCCACTGTCCCGCTCGCGTCCAGAAACATCCCGTACTCGCGTCCGCGGAGGGATAGGAAGAGCTGCAGGTCCCGTGGGTTCTGCGGCTCCGGTCGGCGTCCCACAAGCGGAAGGTCCTCCTCCCTGCGCTGTCACGGCCGGCTTGTCTGTGAAGGGTACGACAGGCGCTCTCGCAAGGTCAGCAGACACAGGCAAGGGCGAGTCGGCAGCAACAGACCCCGGCAAGGCAACTTGGGGAGATGACGCATCCGGCCGTGGGGCAATGTATGGCTTCAACCGGGACGTGTGCACGAACCAACGCCGTGCACCAACCTGAACACGCGCCGACTGTGGGTTGGGAACCTCAATGAGGCGGACCGGACCCTGCCAAGGTCGATGTAATTTAGGAGATGTACCTGGCCGCACCTGTGGGCAATGAAGCCAGGCCAGGTCCCCCTTTTTCCAGGGACACTCCCCCTTTGAACGTCGGGCACACCGCTCATTCCTGGCCTGAGCCTTGGCAGTAGCCATGCGGGCATTTTCCCTCGCCTCAGCGACACGCCGAACGTTGTCCTTAATATACTCAGGAAGAGGCTTAACAGGCCCCCTCGCACCGGTTCCCAACTGGTCATGAATCGGCGGCACGTTCTCACGGCCGTACATAAGGAAAAACGGCGAGTATCCAGTAGCCGCGTGCGGCGTCATGCGATACGCCGAAAGCACCCCAGGGATATGCAAATCCCAATCAGATTGGTTTTCCCCGACTGTATGGCACAGCATGGCGGACAGAGTCCGATTCAACCGTTCCACCATACCATCCGTTTGCGGGTGGTAGGGGGACGTCCGTATCTTTTTAGTTCCAAGAGCCGCACACACCTCCCCCAACAATTTAGACGAAAAGTTACGTCCCTGATCCGTAAGGAGCCTCTCCGGAGCCCCTTTGTCCATTACATACCCAAATAGAAAGGCGTCCGTGATAGACGCCGCTGACTGGTCAGGCAAGGGCCAGGCCATCGGCCAGCGAGAGAGGTACTCCACCCCCACCAGTAAATACTTATTCCCTTTAGCTGATGGCGGAAAGGGTCCCAAAATATCTAACGCCACCAACTCATTAACCCGAGATACTTTAATCGATTGTATCGGCGGAACATATGGATGTTTAGGCGGCTTACGGCGGGCACAATCGGGACACGCGCGAACGTGACCGACGACATCCGTCGTCATGCCGTGCCAATAATAGTCTCGTTGCAGCGTCAATAGGGTTTTCTGCACCCCCAGGTGTAAAAGTGTGTCACAGTGCAAAGATCGAATCAACTCATAGCGCAATGACGCAGGCACAACGAGACGCCAGTGTTCCTGTATCCCTTCCCTCCACATCAGTAACCCATCTCGGAGAGCAGTTTCCGAATTACCACCCGCACCGACTTCCTTACCCGCCTTCTCCGTTCGTTTCCGTAACGACACCAAAGAATCGTCCAACATTTGCTCCCGAATCCACACAGACCTTGGAAGACGCAAAATCCCGTCAGCCGGTCCCCCCTCAACCGGTCCCGGTGTAAGCGGAGGTTCGAGAACATCCACTGCCCGCGCGACAGGCTGAGGGGGGGGCTGAGCCGGTCCACACCTATGCGTCCCCGACGCACACGCACAAGGGGATTGTTGCGGCAACCTGGACAGTGCGTCCGCGTTAGCGTGACGCACACCCTTCCGATGGTGAATTTGGAAGGAGAATTCTTGCAACGTGTCCAGCCATCTCGCCAATTGTCCGGATGGCTGGTCCATCTTAAGAGCGTACTGCAAGGCCGCATGGTCCGTTCGGACAATAAACGACCGACCGTACAGATACGGTCGAAATTGGCGGAGAAAATACACAATAGCCAAAAGTTCCCTGCGAGTGACGCAGTAACGAGTTTCCGCGGGAGACAAAACCCGACTCCCGTACGCCACCACACGCTCAACACCACCTTTTGACTGGGACAACACCGCCCCAATCCCGGTGTCACTCGCATCAGTATCCAGAATGAAGGGATGTTCAAAATCCGGATAATCCAACGTCGGCGCAGTAGCCAGTAGGTCGCGCAGGCTCCGAAACGCCGCCTCCTCCGGCGGTCCCCACACAAATTTGTGCCCCTTCCCAGTAAGGAGATGCAAAGGCCTGGCGATAGTAGCGAAATTCGGAACAAACCTCCGGTAATATGAGGCGAACCCCAAAAACCGACGCACATCACCCACCGTGGCGGGGGTTGCCCAATCCCGGACACACGCAGTTTTCTCTGGATCCGTGGCCACCCCGTCCGCACTAACAATATGTCCCAAGTATCGAACGGAACGTTGCAGTAGATGACATTTCTTAGGCTTGAATTTCAAATTAGCAGAACGCATTCTGGCAAAAACGGCCTCCAACCGCAATAAATGCTCATCAAATGTGCGGCTGAAGACAATAATATCATCTAAATAAATGAGACATGTCTCCCACTGCAACCCCGTCAATACCAACTCCATCAATCTCTGAAAGGTGGCAGGGGCTGCATTCAACCCCATCGGCAGACAGTTAAATTGGAACAACCCCTGCGGCGTACGGAACGCTGTCTTTTCCCGCGAGGGCTCGTCAAGGGGAAGCTGCCAGAAGCCCGAAGAGAGATCTAGCGTTGAAAAAAACTTAGCCCCTGACAAGGCGTCGAGAGAATCGTCCATACGCGGCAGGGGATACGCATCTGCCACCGACACTTTATTTAACTTCCGAAAATCCACACAAAATCGTAATTTACCATCTTTCTTTTTAACCAACACGACAGGCGCACCCCACGGGCTATTAGACGGAGATATAATATCCGCTTTCAACATGTCTTCCACCGCCCCTCGAACGTGCTCACGCTCAGCCGGACTCATCCGACGCGAGTTCAAGCGGATAGGGGCCGCGTCCCCCGTTTCGATGTGATGAGAGAGCAGCGAGGTGCGTCCCAAGTCCAAATCGTCCGAGCTAAACACATCGGAATAGCTCGCTAATAATTTATGAATCGCACAACGCTGCTCAGCGGAAAGGGCCGAATTTTCCGCGCATAATTCGGCGATCCAACGATCGTCCACCCCTCCGTCGTGTGAAACACCACCCACCAGCCCCCCGTCCGGAATGTCACTCTGAGCCGTAAACGCCGTAGTGGCGTGTGCCACAACGGTACCAGCCGGCACACACACGCTTTCAGAAGTCGCATTTAACACCTGCAAAAACGGGCGCTGATCCGGACGGACAATGGTTTGCGCCCCCACCAGTGCCAATCCGCCCGTAACAGCGGCGGACGGCGACAGCAAAATTCCACAAGCACTCTGCCGACCCGGAACCGGCTTCCGGTATCGTAGGGGAATGAGCATCTGCGAGCCAGGTGGAATATCAACTGAAACTTCCGATAACGCCTGCACCTGGGCAACCGGAGCCGGTCGCCCCCAGGTGGACTGTAAAAACGCCAATTTGCGGCCCCCTGGCAGTTCAATGCAATTTTCATTGATTCTAATTAAAATGGGCATCTTAGCCAAAAAATCCGTGCCCAACAAGCAAGGAACCGCCAGGGACCTCGAAATTAACACAACGCCCGAGGCCGAGACCCCCCCGATAGAAATATTAGCGTCCACCTGTCCCACGATGCCCATACTACCCCCGTTCGCAGCGATGCAGGAAGCGTAAGCCGGCCTCACGGCCCCCGGTGGGATGTTCAAAAGATGGAATATGACATCCGAAATAATGGTCGCGGACGCCCCGGAATCCACCAAAATACGCACGTCCACCCCTTGGATCGACCCCGGTACAGTGGACGAACCTGTAGCGGCCGCGACAACCCGCCGAGCCAACTTACGCCACTGCGTTATCGAGCGACAAGGCGCAGATACTGGCCTCCCATATTTTAGAAC